GACAGGAAGCAGCCGCAGGATCCAGAGAGAGCAAAAAGCCAGAACGCCTGCTTATATACAGATGCGGGCCACACCCCCAAGGAGACTCCCTTTCATCTGATTGCCTACTCACAGTATATTCAATCATGGGAGTGATTACATTAAAACACGGACAATCATGGCCCAGCCAAGCTGACACACAATCTTAACCATCACAAATAGATTGTCTATATTCCATGATTTTTTCACGCTGATGTATTTTTATCATTTCTATTTTGTGAATGATTTCACATTCATTGTTTTATTTCATATATTTACCCTCACTGTAACCCAGTTTCTACTGTTGTAGAAAAGTTTAGATCACTCAGTAAAGAGCAGAATCATTATGCAAATTTGAATATTTTAATTCTTAGCTTAGAATTCATTGAATTTTCATCAGGACATGTATGAGTTCTCTATTATTGCATAACAAATTGCCAAAAACTTAGTGGCTTAAAATAACCCACATTCTATCTCACAGTTTCCATTAGTCAGGAGTCTGGGCATGGCTTAGCTAGATCCTCTGCTCAATCTAGGTGTCAGCCAGGTTGCATTCTCATCTGGAGCTTGGGTTCTTCTTCCAAGCTCATTCAAGTTGTTGGCAGAATTCAGTTCCTTGCAGCTGTAGTGCTGAGGGCCTCAACTCTAAGAGGCTGCCCTTCTCCACAGGCAGTTCACAACATGGCCATTGGCTTCCGCAAGCCAGCAGGAAAGTGTATCTCTTCAAGAAGGGCCCAGACCCTCTTTTAATAGTTTTTACCTGATAAGGTCAGGCCCACCCTGGATAATTTCCCTTTTGATTAACTCAAAATGAACTGATTACGGACCTCAGCTACGTCTGCAGTTTTTGCCATATAACATAACACAATCATGGTACTGATAATTCTAATACCTTTGTCATATTCTGTTGGTTAGATGAAGGTCACAGGTTTCACCCACACTCAAGGGGAGGAAATTACAAAATGGTATGAATCATTGGGGTTTACCATAGGGTATATTTGACACAGAAGGTAAATAAATGTTGAACACCTACAATAAAAGAAAACTGAAACTTTCAAAATCTGTGATGTTGTCAATTTTGCAGATTAGCAACTTGAAGGAAAACATGGTGTATCAGTTCCAAGTGGCAGCCATGAACATCACTGGATTAGGAGAATTCTCAGCAGCAAGCACACCCTTCAAATGTGAAGAGTGGACCATTGCTGTTCCAGGTAAACCATAGAAACCATGTCTCAGCACCAGAGTGTGGGGTTTCCTCCAATAGAACCTACAACTTGAAACTAAAGTGTTATAAAGATAACTTTTATGGGAAAATAATTCTCTTGGACCCTTATGTTAACCTAAAATCATTTTACAATTAGATAATAGATACCAATGTAAAACTGAGTATAAACTTCTTATGTGTGTATTCCAAATAAATTCTTAAGCCCCCATAGCTCAGCCTCAAGCATACAACATGAGTGTCAAGTGATAATCTAAAGGAAATTCCGGTCTTTACTTGTGCTTCTTAAAGGCCGTTAAATTAAAGAACATCCAGTTCACATCCCATAGCAAAATTTCTCAAAACTTCTTCTGATATTCCCCAGTTCTCCTGCATTCTCCCACTGCGCTAGAGCTCGTGTTTACCAACCCAGTCTCCCTCTTCAGCCCGAGCCGTGTGGCTTCTCTTCCTTATTATCTCTCCAGTCTTCCCTCTCCCCCAGCTATTCATTGGGTGGTATAGATCAATTTAACACGCCTGCATAAGGCTTAAGCCCAGGCTCCACTCCACTTACCTTTCTAGTTCTTTCTCTCTCTACACATTTTCCCAACTCTACATCACAAAAAAAATCCTGGAACCCGACTGGCAGATACTCTCCTTTGGAGTCAATCATAACATATGGTTGTGTGGGCAGAGAGGGAAATGGGGAGAAGGCAGAGACTCTTGCCTATAAAATTGAGCAAATGAAAAACTGAATAGAAACAAATTTACTAAACCATTGCTATTAAAACTGGCAACATTCCTATATTTGATGGATGATTCTGTTTTACTTCCGAACGTTACTGACTTCAGAAACACAAATATTTTGAGTGCCATGAGAGACCAAATTCTCCCACCTGGATTGGTATTCCACATATTTAACATTGGCATGGCACCAGCATGGACCACACCAGAACAACAGGCCACACTGGAGCATACTGGCTGGATACCAGCTGCCAGTCCTATCTCCTTCCCCTATTTGAAACCCTAATGTCATAAGAACCATCCCTTTGCTTTCACTTAGTGAGCGCCCATCTGCATCATTTCTGTGCCAAGTATAAATAAAAAGAATACAAGAGAAACTTAAGAGAAGTTCCAGTGCTCACTCAACTTCAGCAAATACCAGCAGGCAAACACACCGCTTCTCCTTTCACCTCCTGGATGACAGTTAATATTTCTTAAGTTCTTTCTGCTACCTCAACAAGAGCAGATCTGTTTTCAAATTCTTTAATTACCGAGTAAATTTGACTGTCTATAGAAACTAAGAAATTCTGAGCATGCCTGTGGAAAACGTTTTGATAGAAAACATTGTAGTTGGCAAAAGAGGTTGCAGGGTGACAGTGCAGTTAATTCAAAGGAGAAATGACTAGGACAGTCCTCCATCCTACTGATCCTCGTCTCTTAGATCCATCCTGGACTTCCTGAATAGTATTGGGCAAGCACTTATAGAACAGGGTATCTGGGTATCTGTTGGCATCCCTCCAGTTTACAGCTGAAGAAACTGAGACTTGGGTTAAAAGATACACTGAAGGTCACAAAGGTAATAAGTAGCAGAGTTAGGATTGGTAAGTAGGTCTTCTGATTCCTAGACTAGAGGTGCTAGGAAGCCACAGACTATAGCTCCTCTTCTGTAGACTAGGGGTGGTGATCCCCTTTGGAAGCCTTACTGGGTTCTGAGGGTGACACAAGAATGGTGGTCACAAAAGCTTTTGCAAAACAGAGCATGCCATGCAAGTGTAAGGTATTGATGTTATTATTTAAACCAATTTCCACACGAGACATTGTGGGAACACAAGGGTGACTCATACCTTTCGTTAAAGATTGGGAAAATTCTGTTGTAAAAACTAAGGACACATGTCCTAGAATTTTCACCAAGGCCATGGCTACACAATCTTTTTTAAAGAGATTAAGCCTGTGACTGATGGATCTAACCAACTACCACAGCAGAAAACCCATCAGCTTAGACTGAAGGGGACAGAGAAAGAACAAAAGGACAGAGTGCTGTCTGCCTCTTGGGAATTCTATAGGCAGGAAACAGGCCAAAGGAGCTACATCTGTTGTCCTCCAAAAAAAGAAAAGGACCATCCCTGGAGCAGCTCAAAGATCAGCAGAGCTGTTGGAAGGAGCACAAGAAGCAGCATCTTCTTGGTTTCAGAGGGTGGGGACGTGATCTTGTGGGTCTCAAAGGGTGGGGCTACAGCCTTCCAGGTTCAAAGAGTCATATCTTTGCCAGCTCGGTTCTGGAGTGTGGATCTGCCATTCAGATGTGCCAGGGTATGGGGCTGCCACCCACAGCAGAGGGAGTGTGTCTGCCATTCCCAAGGGGCAGAAGAACAGGGCCTGCAGGGCCAGGGTGGTGGAGTGGGATCACCACTCAGATGGACTAGGAGAATGGGGCGTCCCAAAGCAGAGGGAGCAGAGTTGCCATCCCACTGGCCTGGAAGATGGAGCTGAAGCCCAGGATGGAGCGGCCTCCACCCAGACTCCAGAGGGCATGGCCAACACCCAGAGTTTGGAGGGTGGGCCATTACCCAGGTGGTCTCAGAGAACAGAGGATTATTTTCAAGCCTTGAGAGCTAATGTAATTTTTTCTAATGGGTTTTGGACTTGCTTGGTGCCTATTACCCCTTCTTTCCCTCCAATTTCTCCCATTTGTAATAGAAAAGCCTACCTTGCATTTGTTCTACCATTGTGTTTTGGAAACAGATCATTTGTGTTCTAGATTTCACAGGTTCACAGATGAAGAAGAATTTTGTCCCAGGATAGATTATGCCTAAAGCCTCACCCATATTTAATTTAGATGATTCAGAAGACAAGATTTTGGACTTTCAAGACTTTTAGACTTTTAGGATGATGTAATGGGGTGAATGTGTTTTGCATGTGGCAAGGACGTGAATTTTGGGGGGCTAAATGGTAGAACATTATGGATTGAATTATGTCTCCAAAAAATATGTGTTATAAATCCTAATATTTTGCCAAGTAAAGGACCAAATAACATTGAACTATCTATTGCAAAACACTAAGAATAGCATAATAGAGGCTGTGTTTGTAATTGGCTTTCAGGCCAGTGTGAGTCACTTTAGGGGATTATGATTGGTTGGTTAGAAATCGGTTGTTATCTAAAAAGAAAAAAAAAGGAAGAAAGAAAGGAAAATAAATAATTGTATCATCTTCATAGCAGCTGGTAGCCATGCAAAGATAGAGGTATCACTTAGAGTTTAGGACTCTTCCAAGAGGGCAAAGAGTACACACACAGGGTGCAAATTCTGGCCTTCTACCAATGAATAAGGAAGACCGAAGAAGAACTGATGCCTTTGAATTATGGTGTTGGTGAAGAATATTGAATATACCATGGACTACCAGAAGAACCAACAAATCTGTCTTGGAAGAAGTACAGCCAGAATGCTCCTTAGAAGTAAGGATGGTGAGACTTTGTCTCACATACTTTAGACATGTTATCAGGAGTGACTAGTCCCTGAAGAAGGATATCATGCTTGGTAAAGTAGAGGGTCAGCAAAAGAGAGGAAGACCCTTAATAAGATGGATTGATACAGTGGCTGCAACAGTGGGCTCAAAAAAAGCAATGATTATGAGAATGGCGGAGAACTAGGCAGTGTTTCATTCTGTTGTACATAGGGTCGCTATGAGTCAGAACCCACTCAATGGCACCTAACAACAGCAACACCTGATAAGGCTTATTGAGTTACTTGGCTTCTCCTAATTGTTTTAGAAATGAATGAGATAAATGAATGTAAAATACCTGACCATGTTTAGCACAGATTCAAGGCCCACAGGTTTGATTCTATTTATTTTGGCAAAAGTCCTTTGTAAGCCATAAATTGTCATTTGTTTTTACCAATATTTGGGATGTATGCTTTAGGGGAAAGATTTCCTTCCATTTGGGAGCTATTTTGTAATATATACTTTTTTCCTTTGAAAGAAGTATTACTATCTATAGTCACATGCCATCAAATAGAGTTGCTTTCTTCATACTAGTTGGGATTTGGAGCAATTTTCAGATCACCATCCAAAAATAATCTGAAACTGAATCAGCAACTAAATTTAAACTGTTCTAATAAAAAAGTTTTAATCCAGGCAAGTCTGCAGGCTTGAGAACAGCCTGAAGGAAAGTTTTAATCCAGACACTGAGAGGCACCTTGCGCTGGCCTTCACTACGCAGTAAAGGGATGGAATAGATTGATGGAGAGCAGTTGTTGGAAGTTGACAAGAGAAAGACCACAAAAATACCTATTTCCATGGGGATGCTAGAGTAAAAGACAAAAGAACACAAGCATCACATTCAGCTTTAATGCGTTAAGTGTGGTTCCAAATTGACACGTATTTGATTTTTCTTATCTTCAATATGGTTTCTATTCATTGCTTTCACTCTCTCAGGACCTCCACACGATCTCAAGTATAGTGAAGTCAGGAAAACCTCCCTGGTTCTCCACTGGAAACCTCCAGTCTACTCTGGACGGACCCCAGTGACTGGTTACTTTGTAGACTTGAAGGAGGCCAATGCCAAAGATGACCAGTGGCGAGGACTCAACAAAGCAGCTATTAAAAACAAGTACCTGAAGGTAAGAGGATGCTGGGAGGTTTAGAAACCATCTTTACAGAGGAGAACTACTCTACTAATAACATTAGCTTCAAAGTTAGCAGGATAAAGCAAACAGCTCTACACTGGTCTGTTTCATACATTGGACTCTTGGTAAAACTCCATTTGGTGGTTGGAGTTGAGGGAAGTTTCTGCTGCTTAAAACAGTTTGGTGTATTTAACCTGAATGCCTCGCTTTGGAAAACATCTGTCAGCTTCCTTCTCTCTCTTCTTTCCCTATCTTATCCATCTAGCATTTTTGTTACTCAGTCTTAAAACATTACTGCCTTCCATTCCCAAAAGGGACTTCCTCAATCCTACCTGTAATTTTTTTTATTCAAGGATGGTATTTTTATAGAGTTCACACCAGTTAGCCTTTAACTGCTGATGCTTTGGCATCATGCTCTCTCTCTCTTCAGTCCGTCATGCTTGGGCTATCGTGAGTTCTCAGAGATTAGTGGAGTGGACTCACTCAACTCTTGACCTTATCTTCACCCTTATTCATGTCACTGCCCTCCAAATTCTTCTAGAGTTTTCTAACTGAACTAATTCCTAACTCTCTACCAAAGACTGTTTTGCTATAACTGCTGAGTCCCTGACTTGTACCAAATGGAAATCTTGAAAAAATTATTTCCCCTATTGTTAGTAGTGATATGTGGAGGCCCTGAGTCCACAGCAGGGCCTCAGAACTGTGGAAAATATGAGTCCATTTCTTATGACTTGAATGAAGAGTGACTTCACCACAGTCGTGCAGAAAACTTCACACTGCATTCAATTGTTAGTGTAATTGGCCACTGCCCATCAAGTGGGTATTCCTGGTCTAATAGATCTCTTCCATCCATTTGCCACCAGGGACTGAAGTCCACATCATCAGTCAGTCACTCTCTGAGGTGAAGGCATTTACAGTCCCTGTAAAAAAATGTAGATTTCTTCTACAGTAGGGATCACCCATAAATCGTTACACCCAGTATGCCATTAACTCAAGTTGACTTATGCCAATCAGCTCTCCAGCCCCTTCCAAAGCCCTGAGGAAATAGGAAGGGTCATATTTCATGAGAGAGAAAAGATACAGAAAGTGTGGAGCATAGGATGCTGTTTGGTTATTGGGATAAATCAGGAGGCCTCTAGATTCAAAGAAACCCCCAAAGGACAGTGTAAAATAAAAGTCAGAAACATCCTGATGGTGGCGGTATGTGTATACAGCTGGGATGAAGATTTCCAAATGCTCAGTCTGCCCCAGAGCAGGATCTCAAGAGCCTGAGGCAGAACTGGATTCAGCTGAAGCAAAACAAGGGTGAGGTGCCAAGCCAAGGAGACCCACAGCCTAGAAAAACAGGCAAAGACCTTGGACAGACAGATGGTTCACAGGGAACAAATATCAGAGTTTAAACATATCAAAGTTATGAGTTAATGTCACTCATAACGAAAAGAAGAAGCAAGGCAAATTTAAAAGCAAGAAGCGACACTGAGATTGAGTGTGGCCAACAAACCTGGAGACAAACTTCCTACAAGGTCTGTACATTCCGTTGATTATGATCTTATATTTTATCAATAGTTTATAAAATGGAAATAGAATTATTGATTTTCCTGATTATAAAACTAACAGATACACATTAAGAAAAACTCAGACAATAACAATATAAAGAACACAGTGAAAATATCCTGTGATCCCCATACGCATTTTGGTATATAATCTTTCATCCAGATGTTTTATATTCAGAAGTTTTTCAAGCCTATACTGGAGACTTATATAATCGTTAACATATTTTTTTAAAGTATAGCCTGATAAACTTAAGTAGGACAGGAGATATAGCTCCACCAGTGGGAGAATTTAGCATTGTTGCAGCTAGAGCATAATGGGCTGACTGGTTTCTACCGGAAGCAGCCACATTCATTTCAGCACAGTGGCATCATTAGGGGGACGTGAGGGGTGTGGACCCCACCGGGTGAACTGTCAGAGGTGGTAACACCAAAACGATTGTCTATAAAATTTTTGTGCAGTGTTTCAGCAGAAATTTATTATTTTTTATAAAAATACTCCTGTAGTTAGTTATAACAACAAAAACATTTTTCTTAAGCCCAGCTTACATGTATCAATATACCTACAAGGCTAAAAGTCTATGCTAATTTACTTTTTGAACCTTCTAATGCACTCTGGTCGGAGCTGTCATTATTACCCAATTACAGTGACACTCTGAATCGCGTGGTTTCATCTGCATGTGCTATAAGCATGTGCTGTTGTTTTCCTTACTGCTGGTGTTTTATAGTTGCTGACTTTGGCAAATTTTCTGGTGTTTTAGCTACACTATTGTGGTGATTAGTGTTTGTGAGCCTATATCAATAGTGACCTTATCATTCGACTCAACGGCAACAGGTTTGGTTTTTGTTTTGTATCAGTAACTTTTTTGAGAATGAAGTAGTAATTAAAGGAAAAGAAGGAGTGATATAAGGGAATTACAATTTATGAATAACATTAGTACCAAAAACATTACTAAGGATTCTGTATGATCTGGTACAGCAGTAGGCCCATGATGGGGTGACACCAACCCTAGTGACGCCACTGTTTTAACACCAATTGTCTGGGTGTTTCTAAAAGTTAAAGATGTGTTACTTTCAACCAAAAGAATTTAACCAAGCTTCCCATTTTTTTTTAAATTGGTAATCACAACCTGAGGGTGATGGCTTAGTCATCTAGTGCTGCTATAACAGAAATACCACAAGTGGCTGGCTTTAACAAAGAGTTTATTCTCTCACAGTCTGGTAGGCTACAAGTCCAAAATCAGGGCATCAACTCCAGGAGAAGGCTTTCTCTGTCAGCTCTGGAGGAAGGTCCTTGTGATGCATCAGTCTTCCCTGGTCTGGGAGCTTCTCTGAGCTGGAACCTCAGGTCCAAAGGACACGTTCTGCTCCTGGCACTGCTTTCTTGGTGGTATGAGGTTCCCATGTGCCTCTGCTCACTTCTCTCTTTTATATCTCAAAAGAAATTGGATTAAGGCATTATCTAATCTTGTAGACCTCATCAGTATAACCTCATCATAGTGATAGAGTTTACAACACATAATGAGATCACATATAACATCATCATAATGATAGAGTTTACAACACATGAGGAAATCACATCAGATTACACAATCATATAATACTGGGAATCATGACCTAGCCAAGTTGACAGATATTTCTGGGAGACACAATTCAATCCATGACAGGCGACAAAGTGGTAAGAAGGGAGTGAGTTATTGGAAGGGGGACATGGATGGAAAGGACAAGAAAACATAGTTCCTTTGGAAATTATAGGGAAGGAAAAAAATCCAAGAAATGGCAAGTTGATGTGCATACATTATGTATTTCTGATGATGTTGGAGACAGTGTTCATTGTCCCTTTGATGATGGAAGACTGGGCACTGGAATGTGGATATACCTCCTTCTCCAGGTTGCACAATCGGACTCAAATATGTGCTCAGCCTCACATCACCTGAGAGTCAGGTGCAGATGTGTCAGGTGCCCAGAGATCAGTCCATTTTTATCACAACAAGGAAAATCCAGTTTCCTGACTTTATTTCTAAACGTAGAGTTTAAATACATCAAACTATGCCTTTAGCCTGTGCCTAAATTTTTAATGTACAGATTAAAATCTATTTCAAATTGGTTCCAGTGAAAGCTATCATTACATGGATAGTGACATTCTATTATCGTAAACACAATACTATTAAGTAAACAGATTAAAAATCAAATAATCTAATACATAGCTCCTTTAAATACACGATCACAAACACTTCACTTAATTGGATAAATGTATTCTAGCATTGTTTGATTTAAACAATTTTGGATAAACAATCCCATTGATCTCTGTCACAATATTATGGGAAAAAGTGTGCCCTCTGTATGTAATAAATTCCTTCTTAAAAATACAATATAGCTTTTAAAAGTTACATATTTTAAAAATAAAAATTTATTTTTGATAAAATGTTAACAGTATTTAAAACAATAATGAGACTGTGCTGAACCCAAAAAAAGTCACAAAGAAATTATAAAGTGGGTCTATCACATAAATATGAATATTTTTTTACAACTCTTTATAACCCTAGTTCGCTGGCACGTATGTAGTAGGTCCACAGCCAACATCTCCTTGATTATTAAAAACTTGGGGATTTAGAATTTAGAATGCTGTTTTTATTGTTAGGTGCCATCGAGTCGGCCCCGGCTCATGACGACCCCATGTGTTTCAGAGCAGAACTGCTCCATAGGGTCTTCTAAATTTCGATTATTCACACATTACTTAAACTCATAATTATATTGTTTCTCTATTTAGTGTGAAATAACTATATTAAATATACAGGGACAATATTTGTTTTTGTTCTAGTGCTTTAACATGCTTGTAAACAAATGCAAAGTGTCAATGATCCGTGCTTTTAATTCCCTTCTCTTGCCAAGAATGTTATCTGAAATTATTCATGGAATGTCTCAAAAGCATCAGGAAAAAAAAAGAAAAAGGCAGCATTTATGCTATCATGCATACTTTGTATGTTGTCTTTTTGGATAACTCATTTAAACCAGTCTTTGGTTTCTGATGTTGGTGGCCATTAAATAATCCAAAAAAGAGTTGGAAGGATCTTACACCTCCTCCTCAACTACTTACAACTGGTCTAGAGAGGAAAAAGTCTAAAGCTAAGGTGACATCCTGGGCTTTTTCTCCTGTATGTCTCAGGCAATGTTTTGGCGGAAGAACATTTCTGTTTAAAAGGGTGCAACATGCCCACTTCTTCTCCACCTACTCTTCCAGGTGCAAGGCCTCAAGGAGGGTGTCAGCTACGTCTTCCGTGTCCGAGCCATAAACCAGGCAGGTGTCGGGAAGCCGTCTGACCTTGCTGGTCCTGTGGTGGCAGAAACCCGTCCAGGTGCGCTTTTATATTCCGTTAAAATTAATCTCATCTGGGTAAGATAACCCAAATAGCATCCAACCTAACTTCAGTGCCTTTCCAAATTTTTAAAACCATCAGTGAGTGCTGTCTGAATCCCTGATAAATATGACCTCAGAATATGACAGCCATTTGCTGTTCTTCACAGGCGCCTCAGGACAGGGGTGAGCCAGGTTTTAAAAACATCTAGGGGTCTTCTGGTCTATATCTAAAAACAGGAACGTTCTTGGTCAGATTTACACTTCCTGGACCACCTGTTTCATGCATACATTCCTGGGGCATTATTCCTGTTATGCCCTGGCCATTAAGTTGCACAAGAATGTTTTTCCAGTCCTAGTGGAGGCTGGTAAATTGCAGGCATGATTCTTAAACAAATGTAGGAGTTATGTAATCACAGTTATTAAGTGAAACCGGGGGTTGGCAAACTTTTTCTGTGAAGGACCAGATAGTAAATATTTTTGACTTTATAACCACATAGTCTCTGTCACCACTACTCAATTCTGTCCTTGTAGCATAAAAGCAGCCATACCCAATATAGAAACTAATAAACATGGCTATGTTCCAATAAAACTTTATTATACACACTGAAATTTGAATTTTACATAATCTTCACATGTCTCAAAATATTAATCTTCTTTTGATTTTTTCTTCAATTGTTAAAAAATGTAAAAACCCTTCTTAGCAGAAACAGGCAATGTCCCAGATCTGGCCCACAGGCCATAGTTTGCTGACCCCGGGTTAAACTAACAGCTGTCCTCACTGAGTGGTCTATAGAGGTGAGTCAGCTAGAGGCTGTCCACACTTCCCAGTTTCAGAGATGCCATGATTGAACTAGGGAAGACAGTCTTTCCCTTTATTATGGGAACAAAGTTTACAGTGTTCACTCCCCAAGTCATTTCAGATTATTACATAGTAATGATTTCTTTTATCATTTTCAGTCTCTGTCATTCTTCAAAGGTATCATATATTTTAGTTATTAAAATTACATAAAAGAAAGCACTGGAAAGGAGAGAGGATATAAAAAATATATATTCACCAGTTATTTTAGGTTTATATTCATCTAGTCCAAGCGCTTTCCCTTTAATCTGTCCCTATTTTCAGACTGAAATAAACAAAGGGCAGATCTATAATGTAATAATTTTCTGATGAGAAAAGAACATACAATTGAAAACTGTTTTTACTCTATGTTACTTGAACAGTGTATAAAATGTATCCTGTGAGGAACTATCTGCCCCTTTAATCTTGTTTCTTCATAACCTGTTTTCAACTACTCTAGTGACTACTTTCTAGACATGGGTCCAACAAAAGTGATGTCCTTATACAAAAGCATGGTGGGTGTCCAGAGGAAATGCCACACTACATATAAGTATCCTTTGCAAAATTTCATGAGGAAACAAAAATGCTAGGAAGCATATGCCAGGTTAAAGGTAACACAGGCAGACACCAGGATGCATATTCCTGCAGAAGGCAGACCCTTCAGTTTACAACTGTGAGGAAATAAAAGATACCAAATGGACATGAACATGGACCCAAGTGCAGAACCTTCCTTTGTAAGAGCAACACTTAAATGACTATAAAGGCGATTCTTCGTCTATTCCCTGGTGAGCCAAAATCGTCTTGTAAGCTGTGGATTCCAAATCTGATTGACTGAAGAAAAGTTAAACCAGTTTATTATTTTCTCATCAATAGCCTCAGAGTAGCAGATGGCCAGGCATGACATTCACAGATACATCACTAAAGAAATTTTACCACAGAAATGGATCTGCTGGTAGCTCCTGGGTGAGCGTTTTGTTTCACTGATTTGGAATAAGGTACCACAAGCCTAATTTTTTACTACCCTATTTCCAAAATGTAACCACAAGAAACAGCTGCAGACATCTGCTTGCTAAACAGCAACAGACTAACTCACTGAGAGCCACTGGCTCACAGCTTAGAAAAGAATCCTCGGATGCACAACATTAAATGCTTCCCCATGAAGAAATACCAAAGCCCTAGAATGACATTTGGACTTGTTCCATTTGCTATGTTCACACTCCTCCTTGCGTATATTTCCTGAGCATCTAGTACATGCCAGGCACTGTGTGGGCACTGGGAGAAGAGTGATGGACAAGAGTGATGTCGTCCCTGAATACAGGGCCTACAGCCTAGTGGCAAAGCCAGAGTTTACAACATGGTGTGATGAGAGATAAGATATTGTTGTTGGTTAGCTGCCTTTGAGTTGGCTCCAACTCATAGTGACCTTATGTATAACAGAATGAAACGTTGCCCAATTCTGTGCCATCTTCATGATCATTTGTATGTTTTGGTCATTGTTTCAATCCATCTCATAGAGGGTTTCCCTCATTTTTGCTGACACTCTCCTTTACCAAACATGATATCCTTTTCCAACGATTGGTCTTTCCTGATGACATGTCCAAAGTAAGCAAGCCAATCACCACCCTCGCTTCTAAAGAGCATTCTGGTTGCATTTCCTCTAAGGTGTATTCAGTATTCTTTGCCAACACCACAGTTCAAATGCGTCAGTTCTTCTTCTGTCTTCCTTTTTCACTGTCCAGCTTTTGCATGCATATGAGACTATTAAAAAGACCATGGCTTGGGTCAGGAGCACCTTAGTCATCAAAGTAACATGTTCACAAAGCCTTTCCCATAGCTGAATACACTACAAACGAGGTTTTATAAGTCCCTGTAAAAATTTGTATGTAGCCTAAAATTGTCTGAATATATTTATTTTGTTAAATACCAGTATATTTACTCTTACCCAGGTATTTCTTTTGTGTTAGGATGGAGGGGACAGCATTTTATCAATTTCAAGACTTGGGATTTGAAACTTAGGTTGCTATTTCAGAACAACTTCTTTTGGAAAACATTATTAAATTTTCAGATAGAAAATAAACCTTATCATGTAACAGCAAACCACAAATACAACTAACAAGATACCTCAGGTATAATTTGGATTCCCCTGAAAAGTTAACCTAAACCACCGGGACTAGTAGGATCACTGGTCTCCCATTGAAGTCAAAGAACATGCAAGAATCTGTAGCCCAGTCACTGCTACAAAGTCTAGCTGTGCCAATAATGAGGATCCAGGTAATGGACTAAGTGTGTCATGCTTTACCAAGACATCAATTAGCTACAAAAGCCTGTAAAAAGAATAAGCTGAAAAATATTTAGATTTGTTAGTACATAAAAGGGTACTTCTATTCTTGATATTTGATATTTTTAAAACAGTACCTGTGGTTGATTGCATCAGACCTGGGGCATAGGTGCAGGCAAAGTGAGTCAGATCAGACTGGAGACAAGAGAGATACCTGCCAAGATGTAGCAGGTGACCTGGAAGGCAACAACGAGCTGGCTGTACAGGTTGCAAGTATTCTTATCAGAGAAATAGAGTAGCAGTCAGGAGTCAGGTGATGAGCAGGAGGACCAGGAACAAGGCAGAGTCCCAGGCAAGCCCCACATTATAGGAAGTTGGTCATCAGGAGAAAGGCATGCTACAAGAATGCAGCCATTCCAGTAGGAGTAAAGAGTTGGAATAGAGTTGACAACCTACTAACCAAGGGCTCATTAAAATTTCTGTTTCAAAAAATTGGTTGGTCCAGAACTAGTAGGGCTGGGAATGCAAATGTGTTCAGTGGTTGAGTGGTGGAGTCTTGAGGGATGCTGAAGCAAGAATCCAGGCTAATTATTAAAGATGAGCTCAACTGGCTAATTTAGAAAACTGCAGTTTGATTTGCTTACTAACTTACCTCTCTCACCATTAGAACAGTGGTTCTCAACCCTGGCTGTACATTAGAATCATGCCAGGAACTTTTGGAAAACACTGATATCCAGACTCCACTCTAGACTAATTAAATTAGAATCTCTAGGGCTGAGCCTTTCTTTGGAATAGTCATAAATACGGATCTTTTCCAGTCAGTTGGCCAGGTAGCTGTCTTCCAAATTTCTTGGCATAGATGAGTGAGCACTTCCAGCGCTACATCCGTTTGTTGAAACTTCTCAGTTGGTATTCTGTCAATTCGCAAGTAAAATTTTGCTGTAGATCATTTGAAAGCAGCTGCAGCAGTACATCGACAGGGAACTGCCAGAAATTCAAGCCAGATTCAGAAGAGAATATGGAACAAGAGATATCGTTGCTGACGTCAGATAGATCCTGGCTTGAAGCAGAGAATACCAGAAAGATGTTTACCTGTGTTTTATTGACTATGCAAAGGCATTTGACTGTGTGGATCTTAACAAATTATAGATAACATTGCAAAGAATGGGAATTCCAGAACACTTAATTGTGCTCATGAGGAACCTGTACATAGATCAAGAGGCAGTTGTTTGAACAGAACAAGGGGATACTGAATAGTTTAAAGTCAGGAAGGGTGTGCGTCAGGATTGTATCCTTTCACCATACTTATTCGATCTGTATGCTGAACAAATAATCCAAGAAGCTGGACTATATGAAGAAGAACATGCCATCAGGATTGGAGGAAGATTCATTAACAACCTGCGATATGCAGATGACACAACCTTGCTTGCTGAAAGTGAAGAGGACTTGAAACATTTACTGGTGAAGATAAAAAAAACTACAGCATTTAGAATGATTACACCTCAACATTAAAGAAAACAAAAATCCTCACAACTGGACCAATAAACAACGTCATAATAAATAGAGAAAATGTTGAAGTTGTCAAGGACTTCATTTTACTTGGATCCACAATCAACACCCATGGAAGCAGCAGTCAAGAAATCAAACAGTGCATTGCATTGGGCAAGTCTGCTGCAAAAGACCTCTTTACGTTTATTTATTTATTTTTATTGTACTTCAGGTGAAGGCTTACAGAACAAATAGTTTCTCATGAAACAGAAGTACACATGTTGTTTTATGACATTGGTTAACAACCCCACAACCTATCGACCCTCTAACTTCTCAACCTTTTTTTTTGGTGAAAATACACACAGCCAAAGATACACCATTTCAAAAATTTCTATAT